TTAGGTTATATCAAGCAGGACGGAATCTATGACTAGAATATTCATAATCTCATTCTTTCCTTTCCCATTTCTCAAATCTAACCAAAGTTCATCGCTCAGTCTATAGCTTATATTTTACGCCAACTCATTACTAATCGATTCCGTTTGGAAAATTTACTTTCATTCATCAATCAACCTTAAATCCACAGCTCATCATCCACACGAAAAAAAAAAGTGTTTTGCTTTGTTTATCGATTTACTTTAAATGCGAGTGGTGCTACACATGTTTCGTGTATAAACATGAAAAGTTCATTTTCAGAAGGAAGTCGTCGATGTGAAGTGAAACTATTAAATGGCTAGACAGTCTTCTTCTTCTTTTCTTCGCCTTCGCTTGCATCGAAAATGTTATTTTTTTTGCAGTCAGCAGTGGATAATGGAATGAAATGGAAGTTCTTTTTTGTCATGATTAATTTTTATTTATTGTTTGAGTATTGAGTGAGTTAGGGTGGTGGAGATGATTCTTTATGATGCGATTTTCCATCAGAATGAAATTAATTGATGATCTTGAGAATGAAGCTGAATGAACTTTAGTGAAGGTGAAGTGTTGTTTATTTGTTGATTTTCGGGGAAATATTTTGTTGACAATGTCCATTTGACATAATTGTGGGATTGGATGAGTTTTTGGAGAATAAATAAATCGAGGTAGACTTGAGCCTTTAACTTGAGTTGAGTCAACTCGAACAAAATTGCAAGCACATTAGGTTTGAGGTTTGGGTGGGTTTTTATTGCTTTCCGGGGTACCAGCCTTTAGAGTCAGAGGCATAGCCAGGAATTAGAAGAGCGGGGACAAAAAAATTATGTGGAACATTTTATGATTTTTTCACAAAACTCCTAGCAAAATGAATGAATTTGTCCCCCAAATTCCCTACCACCCCCCCCCCCCCCCCCTCCCCTGGTTACGTGCCTGTTTAGAGTGGATCACGATAGGCAGATCTTCAGCCTGGAACTTAATTTGGTCAAAAAACTAACTTCATGACAAAAAATATAACTTCCAAAGATCCCTTTCAAAAGTTCTAAACCTGCAAAAATTTAAACCCTCACTTCCAATTCCTTAAAAATCCTCCCTACCAATGAATCACTAAACAAACATAGCACAACGTTTAAATTATGAAAAAGCATGTAACCTAATAGAAACAATAGAACGAAAAACAGAAAAAAGTTTCAATGGAAAGAAAAAAAAGCTTTTGTTCAACGTCGTGGTGGCAGGAGCAGCAGCTAATGTTATTGTTGTCTTTTTAAATAAAACATGTACTAACAATATGTAAACAGTTCACATTATTCTGTATTATGTTAAATTTTCAAAACGCTATGCAAAAAGCTATACAATTAGAAAAGCTCAGACGGCTTGAAAATCATTGAGGTTAGAAGGAATGTCTATAGTGTCATTGTGGAAATTTTCACCCATCATAATTACATCGCAAGTCAGTAAAAATTAGCAGAACAATTTTGAAAATTATGTAATATTTGTTTTTCGTGAAACGGCAACGACGTAGACAGCAACGAATGGTGATGGGTGAGCATGAAAAGTAGCAAAACAGCGAATTTTCACATTCAACGACAATGATGATGACGACGAGGATGTTGAATAAGCAGAGTAAGCAGGGTGGAAGGGGGTCTTCTGGTTTTGAGGAATTTCAAAAAAATTTAAAAGTTCAAAAAAATTGTAAAATATAAAAAAAAATTAAATATCAATCAGTTCCACAATAGCAAGTGTCCCCCTCCATCAAGCAAAGTATGTTGTACGATTTGAGGAACGAGAGATTCGAAGGGTGAGGCAAGCTCATACGATAAAATATTCACACATGTATTCACATTAGAAATGATTACAAACTGCCGCTTTTCCATAAAAAGCCTTACTCTATTTCCATTTCTCCCTTTCTTCCTTTCTATTCTTTATCATACACACACGCTTGATGTTCTTCTTCACATCTTGTTTCATTTCTTCTCCGGTATGAGAAAAAAGCTTTTTAACTTGGGGATGTTCATGCTACATATATTCTCCTAAAGTGATGCTTTTTACATACAATAAACGGTAAATATGTGAACATACATATAGCATGTAATACATATTGCGCGATATAGTCTCTTTTTCTCTTTCACTTACGTACGTTCGTACAGAGCGATAATAATAAGAAGAAAGAGGCATTCAGAGAAAAAAGCCTCAACGCGCGATGCCTCAATATTCCTTTTTCTATACCATTTTTCGTTCGTTTGTAATATTCTGTATGTGATGTGTATATATTATGCCTGATGATGATGGTGGGAAAAAAAAGCTCATACAGTTAGCTTTGCACGTACACAATTTTGCTTCCATTTCAACCCTCCATCTATGCGATTTTCATATGTTGTGTATATACGATATATGATGGGGTTCATAAAATGATGATCGAGGTGGGTGTGCGAAAAATTGGGGCCATATTCATTCACATATAAGCAAGGAAATGTATAGATATAGATTCCATATACACATCGGCAGAAAAATATGAAAAATATGTGAAGCGAATATGGAATGAGTGGAAAAATGGATGTGGCTTTTTTTTCAATTGTGCATGCGAATAGGCTCAGAAATGTTAAGCCATCATGTACATATCTATATGAATATATATAGAGAGACAGAAAACGAATAAAAGAGAAAAATATAAGCACAATGTGATTGGGAAATATGTGTATTATATGATGGGCTTTTTAGCGGGGATATATGGGAAGTGAGAAGTTGATGGATTGGCAGTTTGACAATTAGATGTTTGAATAGTAAGCAATTGGGGTTTGATTATAGAAACCTTCTTAATAAGAGCTTTGTATGGTCTCATGGGATTTTAAGTATCTAGTAATATTTAATTGAACCTGCTGTGGCATCTAAGACTAAGTGGAACTACATACCAGAAATTCTAGTTTTAGATGCTTGTAAATTAAATTAAAAGGGCACGTGAAAGGCCAAAGAACTCATAGAAAGAGGCTGTTGATAGAGACAGTATTGCATTTGGTATAGAAAATTGGCAAGCGGTAGCCAGCGATAGAGCCAGTTTTAGGCGACCTCTGAGGGAGGCTATGGATCACAATTGATCTGTAAGGTCATCGATGTAAGTAAGTATGGTCTTAAATTTGAATCCCAATTAATGTATGTCTCCTTTTAATTAGTCAAAAGAAAATTAATACCAACAACTTCCAAGGACTTGGTCTTCTAGCTTTTCCCAAGCATACCCCAAAATGCACCACATCCATACTCCAAACCAACTCACAACATATCCAACTTACTTTCATTTTTCACATACAGCACAAGCGACAAAACGATTTTTTTCCTCTTTTTTTTCTGTGAATGAAATCGATTTGAGTTGTTAGAACTTTGTGATGCGCTGCTTTTATATGTGTATGGACACATATTTGATTATACATGAATTTATGGTCGCGTATTTCACTCGGTTGTTATGTAAAATGTGAATTGAAAATTATGTACATAAAAAATCATCAACAGCGGAATTATTAGTGCTATCAATTTTCATTTCTCATTGATTCTCATGTTTGCATGGGTTGACTGACATCAGCTTAAATTTCCATGCAAAAAAAAAGAGAAAGAACTGACAATCGATCAGTGTTTGCATTTCAATTTATAATTAATTAATTTATTAATTAATAAGTCAGTGTAAAAAAAATTATTCAAGTTAGTCAATTGTATTATTTTATCGGTACTGAATAAGTTTCAATAAAAAATTGATTAATTAATGATGTTATTGTATAAATGTCAATTAATTTGTTTCGCGTTTATATTTAGAGTAATGACAATTGTGCGGTGAAAATAATGAAAATGCTGACTTACATAAATAAACTCGAGAAATATTTCTTTTCTATAAATATTATTTTTCTACATGAATAAATTGTATGTAATACTGTAAAATAAATGCAAAGTATTATTAGATCAAAATTGTCACAACATGTTGCATCATCGGAGAATGTCACCCTTGTTTAAGGTATGAATGAATATGTTTGGGATGTTTCAGTTCTTTTGTTTTTATAAAGTGTGTTGGAAAGGTTTTTCTTACGAAATTGGGATGCTGCTTCAAGTTTGGTTCTTGTTTGACATGTTTGACGCTGGTTTAGCTAGCTTAGAGCAAGTTTGACTGGCTTGGAGCTAGATTGACACTAGCTTGAAGCTAGATTGACACTAGCTAGGAACTAGTTTGGCTAGTTTAAAGCTAGATTGACACTAGCTTAAGTAATTTAGCTAATTTGGAGCTAGATTGACACTAGTTTGAGGAGTTTGCCTAGTTTGGAGCTAGTTTGAGTAGCTTGCCTAGCTTGGAGCTAGTTTGCCACTAGTTTGAGTAGTTGGTCGCTAGTTTTACACTTGTTTGACCAGCCTGGCACCAAAAACAAAAGCAATTCAAAACAATTGAAACTATCCCGAATAGAACAAGTCGTTTAATCGAATAGAAATCCAGCACAAAGCCAGCATCTGACTTCAAAAGTCCCTTTTCTCGAGCTTTACACCAATCAAAATCCAGCCCTATTGCTGCTGTAAATGCCACTACAGAATAAGAACACCGATTTTATTTAAATCCCGCTTGTTTAAATCCAGCACCATGCCAGAGACACACTATTTGTGCTATTTAGGCAAGGGATTTTTATTTATGATTCCCAAAAATGAAGAGCGAATGAAGCAGAATTCTTAAGTTTAATATACTTAGCTACAATATCTTAGGATAAAACTGAACCTTAGTTTTCGAAGAAAATTATCAAGGTAGCCAAACAGCTCAAAGTCCAACAAACATGCACTTGAAATTCTACACAAATAAATAATAAATCAATCACATTATACATTTTACATGGAGATTACATTCTGTGACTATGTTAAATTGTATTGATGTATGACACATGTGATGAACATAAGCACCTTCCAAGAAATAAGTCTTTGGTGTACAATATAAATAGAATGGATTGTAAAACACGTGACTTTTTGAAAAGCGATTCTGTTGAGCTTAAAATTGGAAAATTGTCCAAAAAATATATTTATAGATCTAGACATAGCTCTAAGGTTCCTTACAAAAAACATTCCAAATTAAAAAAAAAATTCAATGATTAACACAGGAGCTCTCCTCATCCACACACGTATCATCCTGATCATTATCACAATCATCCTCATCACAATCTACTTCACACGCCTTATATTCTTCAATTAAACTCACAATACTATCGTCAGCAGCGCTAAACTCTTGCTCATCCATTCCTTCACCCGTATACCAATGAATGAATGCACGCTTCTGAAACATTGATCGATATTGACATAATAGTCGTTCAAATAGAAATTGTATAGCTGTTGTATTTGAAATGAATGTTGCTGATAATTTCAATCCACGCGGTGGAATGTCACAAATTGCTGTCTTTATATTGTTCGGTACCCACTTTGCGAATGAGTCTCTATTCTTCTCCTGTATCGCCAACAATTGTTGATCGATTTCTTTTGTTGAGACAAGACCACGAAAAATGGCAGCACATGTTAAATATCGACCTTCGTTTGGATCGAATGCAGCCATTTGATTCCGACAATCGAATAATTGTGAGACTAAATCAGAAGTTGTTACTTTTCGATATAATTCACTGCATTTTGACGCGAGTGGTGCAAAGCCGGGTATGAAGAAATGAAGATTTGGAAATGGACACATATTTGTCATTAGCTTGCGTAGGTCGGTGTTTAATTGTCCTGGATATCGAAAGCATGTTGTAATACCAGCCATTGTCATGGCAACTAAATGATTGAGATCGCCAAGTGCTGGATTACAAATTTTCAATGTGTGATAACAAATGTCGAAAAGTGCTTCATTGTCAATACAAATAGCTTCATCCGAGCCATTAATCATTTCGCACAATGTCAAAACTGCATTGTATGGTTCGACTACAGTTTCGGAGACCTTTGCTGATGGAATTACTGAATATGTGTTGACAATTCGATCTTGATACTCGTCCTTTAGCTTATGCATTAGTAAACTTCCCATTCCACTTCCAGTTCCACCTCCGATCGAATGCATCAACTGGAATCCTTGTAGACAATCACAACATTCTACTTGTCGTCTCGTCGCATCCAAAACACAATCCATAAGTTCAGCACCTTCCGTGTAATGACCTCTCGCCCAATTATTTCCAGCACCACATCGTCCAATGACAAAACAGTCAGGATTATAGATTCGTCCATACTGACTGCATTTTATTTGATTTAACGATGCTGCTTCCAAGTCACATAAAACTGCACGCGGAACAAAAATGTCTTTTGGACCGGAATCATAATAGACACTGAGACGTTGATATGGAAGTATACTATTGCCATAAAAATGTCCACATCGATTGATGTTGTGCTCTTCCGAGATTATCTCCCAAAACTGTGTGTGAAGAAAGGTTGATGAGATATTTTTTAAAAGAAGTGATTTTTATGAGGTTGGAATGCGAAAGGAAGTGAGTGTTTGATGCTTGGTCCTTAATAATAATTGAAAAAGATTTGATCCGTCGTTAAAAGAATAAGAGAAGTCGTTTATTACCCTTTCACCAACTTTATTGCCGCATTGACCAACTTGAATTGAAACAATTTCACGCATTTTGATGAGGATGTCTTGTAATTTGATATTTTTGTGAGGGCTGGATTGAGATTTGTTTGAGGATTTACTGAAAATTTTGAGCCGAAGATAAAAGTTGAAATTTTGAATTTTGAAACTTGAATGATTAATTGAAATTCATTGATTACTGAGATTGATGATTTATTGAGAGGGGGGGGGGAGGGGTATCAATTCTCATAGAACTTTAATTGATGCCTTAATAATTTACTTCCAGACCAAACCCAAAGCCTCAACAGTCATTAAAACTTCAATCCAAATTATAAATGCAAACCACTTAATCATCATCATTTTAACCAGTTTAACATCCTCCATTATTACCATAAATATATGCAACAACCATTCACAACAAGTCTTAAAGCGTCAAAACACAGGCAAAATTCCAGCGTACAATAAATGCGACATTCAACAAACTTTTTATTGTTCTTAATGACGTTCAATTTAAAAGTTTATTCAAAACATTTCAGCATCCAATAAATTAGTTTTGACAGTAATTTAAAGTGCTGTACAATCTATAAAAATGTCAAAACACTGTCTGCATAATAAAAAGAATCTCTTGAAGCTAGTTTTAAGGAAATTCTTGCTGGTTACTGATCAGTCCTACAGTCGCATTCATCATTGCACTCAGAAGCATCGCTGTTATCATCCTCATCACAATCAAATTGACATGTCTCGTAGTACTCGTCACATATGTCACAAACGATATTTCTAGCTCGTCGAAATTCCTCTTCCTCCATTCCTTCGCCTGTATACCAATGCATAAATGCTCGCTTTTCAAACATTTTGTCAAACTGCTGAATTAATCTGTACAAAGAGAGAGAGACATTCTAAGAATCGATAAACGTAATTAAGTTTTAGGGTCATTTACCTCCTGAAAATGACAGTGATGGCTGATGTGTTCGACAATAAAGTTGCTGACATGTCGATTCCACTTGGTGGAACGTCGCAAATGGCTGTTTTTATATTATTTGGAATAAATCGTGCAAACATTTCCTTGCGACAACGTTGCAGATCTACCATTGCTTCTTCAACTTCACGTGACGAGACACGACCACGGAATATAGCAGCGCATGTTAAAAGTTTCTCATCTTGACATTCAAAATCAGCCATGCGAAATTCTGGTGAGAAAAGTTGTTGGACGATGGATTTGACGGTGATTTTTTTATACTCTAAATTATTGTGTGCTGAATCGAGTGGCGCATAGCCAGGAATGAAGAATTTAAGACGCGGATATGGACACATATTGGTCATGATTTTTCTCAAGTCTGTGTTTAATTGACCTGGATAGCGGAAGCACGTTGTGACTCCAGCCATTGTTTTACTGATCAAATGATTTAAGTCACAGTGATTTGGCTTTGGAAGCTGTAGACTTGCTAATGAAATATTATAAAGTGCTTCATTGTCAAACATGATCATCTCATCTGTTGTAAAAACTAGTTCAGAGATGCCAAGAACAGCATTGTAAGGTTCAGTGACAACTTGTGAAATTTTTGATGATGGAATGACTGAGAATGTGTTGATGACTCTGTCTTCATAATCGTTCCTTAAACATTTCATAGCTAAACTTCCCATTCCACTTCCAGTTCCACCACCAATCGAATGAACCATCTGAAAACCTTGAAGTAAGTCACAATTCTCAGCTTGCAATCGACACTTCTCTAAGACACAATCCATAAGTTCAGCACCTTCAGTATAATGACCTTTTGAGAAGTTATTTCCCGCGCCATATTTACCAGAAATCATATACTCAGGATTAAAAAGTCGTCCGACTGAGCTATTTTTAAGTTCGGTAATTTGTGTGGGTTCAAGATCAACAGCTACACAGCGCGGCACAAAACGACAATCTTGTGCACATTGAAAATAAATATTAAGACGTTGATATGGCAAAATGGAATCGCCATAAAAGTGACCACATTGATTAATAAAATGCTCATTTGCAATTATCTCCCAAAACTGAAAATGGAATTGGAATTAAATTTGATGAATAATTGTGTTATAAGCACTGTCTCTTTGATGTCTCTCAAGCTACATTGTACCACTCGGATATAATGACTTTTTCTTACCTTTTCAGCGATCTTATTTCCGCATTGACCCATCTGAATGAAGACAATTTCACGCATGTTTGAAGTGTATCTTTGCACGACAACAACAAAGCTCCTTTACTGTATGTTTAATGACCGAAAAAATGAAACGAGAGATGTGCTAATGTTCTGTATAAATCTCTTCTTTCTTCTTCTAGATGTGTGTCTGCCTGCTTTTCTTTTCCTTTTCTACTGATGTCTCATACAGACTTTTGATTTCTTTACTATTATCGCGTGAATGATGGCAACGACTGTGGATTTTTATACTGTAAATTTTGAAACTTCTTTTTTTGTTTTTAATTTTATTTTTTTTTGATGTTTCTAATTGAAAGAATTTATATTTTATGGGTACTTTGGTTTAATGCAATAAAAAATGAATTTATGGACGATTTAAAGATTTCAATGAAAAAGCTGCTAATTGTCCTGCAGTCTTGTAAATTGCGTTCTATTTATTTAATTGATGAGCATTTTGGATTAAATTGAGTGACTTGACTGGTAATTACTGAAGAAGTTTGATTTTTTAAGTGTCACGCAGCTTCAATTCCTCAACTTTCTCCTCTAAATGATGAAAGCCATAAGTAAACAACTGATAAGGGTTCGTTCACTTATGACGTCCGAAATTAACGGTCATTTTTAAAAAAAGAACAATGGATTTCCAGGAATTTCTATTGTTTTTTTCTTGCTGACCCCCCCCCCCCCCCCCCTGGATGTCATAAGTGAACGGTCCCTAATGAAGCATTTACTGGATAATTAATTAAAACATAATTAATAAACAAACAAGCACCTTAATTAAATAATTTCTTGTGCATAAAATCCAATTTTTATTTGATTCCAATAATTCATAAATGAAATGACAATAAATCAGGCAATAAATTTTATTGCACTTTTTTCATTTCATTCACAAAATGATTTTTAAGCACCAAAGCAGAGAGAAGCTCGATTCATTAAATTGAGTTGACTTAAGCCATTTATGATCAGATGTGAGTAAGTAACAACTTTACAATTCTAATTGACATCATAAATAAATTTATTATATCTCTCGCTCGTCTCATTCATAATAGAGCCACAATTTCGTACATATATGTCTATTAATTACATAAACAGACAGGTTAATTCGATTTTATTGCAAGCAAACAAGTAGCACATGCCATATTAGAGTATATACGATTTTTAAGTCTAATGAATATACATAAATAAATCTTTTATTTCTCATACTTGTACTGAGGAACATGATCTTGCTTGTTTTTGCATGCTGTGTATTTTATATGCAATTTTATGTACATTTTATCTAGATTGTAGTTAAAAAATGATGAATAAATCCACAGAAGAAAATATTTTATGAATTTCAGATTTTGTTTCTCAGTAAACATCATAAAATTAAACCATCATGTATGCAAATTGATATAAATACTTCACCTTTGTGCTTACATATTGATATACACATAATAATATATAGATCTGTTTACTCTCATATATATAGATGAGCAAAAAATGATTCTTTCACTCTTGTCTGTTAATTTATTCATGAATGAAAAAATCATCGTCGATGACACTTTGTGAATATCATATGCATACGTGACTATTTGATCCTTTTGTGAGGAATGGAGCAGTTTATCATAGTGGTTGGGCACTTATGACGTCCAAAATTAACGGTCATTTTTTAAAAAATAACTGGATTTACTGAAAAATCTATTGTTTTTTCTTGCTGACCAATTTCCCTCCCTCGACGTCGTTAGTGAACGGCCCCATATCCTTTGGTCCTATTAATTGATGCTTAACTAAAGCAAAGTCAAGATCAAGGAATGGGGGGGGGGGGGGGGCTATCTCAGACAATTTGTGGCTAATGAACTTAGTTTAAGGCTACAAATAGCAATCCGCAGTGTGTTCTATTACCAACCTTAGATAGTTTTCGAAGCCCAGCCAAAAGTCAGTTCTAATAAGACCTAAAATGCGCTTTATGCATCACATCAAAACTTCCATACTTACACCAATTTAGATGTGTACAAGTTCGTTCATTAAAAAATTTTCCACTCTGAAACTTGTCATTTTGAAAAGTTAAAGCGCTAAAGTACATTCCAGCTCTTCATTGCACATCCACACACACACACACACACACACACACACACACACAGAAAACGTAAGCCGCATGAATAAAATTTTCAGTTTGAAGCAACTAGAATGAACGGGAAGACACGATGTAGATGTTAGGGTGGTGAAAAAAGAAGCAATGAAGAATGAGAAAATTACAGAATAAGCACAACCGAGGACAACAAAATTCTCATTGCACAAATGCAATGAACTGAAATCACATAAATGATGCAAAAGGGCGTAAATGACAAAGGGAATGGTGGCGTGTAATGTTGTTGGATGCTTTAATAATAGAAAATAACATTGCAACTGTAAAATTTTCCATTTTTCATGTGCAAGAATCAGTTTCAATGGATAGAATAAAGAGTTTTGAAACTGTAAAGAGCTTGAGGTGGGACTGGGCAGAAGGGAACGTGTGATATAATTTTTATGTTTGTTCATTTTTACATCGGATTGAAATCGCAATTTTCCTTACCATTTATAATGTACATACGCTCATTCTAAAGCACAGCAGTCTCTAGCTGGGAAGATGTGGAAAAAATTTGTTCCTACTTCAGTTCTAGATTAATAATTGGCTGAATACACTCGCTTCGTACTACCTTTGTGTGGTTATACTCGTTCTATTCATCCTGTGATTTCTGTTACAAATGAAGAGATTTTCGCCGTTGCTGGATTTACATTTACATCATCTGTGCTGTGTAGATTTGGAAACTGTTGACAAAGATTTTTTCATTTGATTATTAAAATGGTTTTGACATCCTTTTTAAGCCATGTCTTCATATTCTTACTAAACTTAAACCACTCAAATGGAATAAAAATTGAACTAGACTAGACCGAGAAGCAATAGTGACACTAAGCTGGCATGAAACTAGGCATCATTTGGGTTCTACGTTTAACTTAAGAAGGCTTGAGGACACCGATCAACTAGTCACAGATTGAGCTGATACATCAATTTTTCTATGATTACAGTTTCTGTTTAAACCAGAGCTCGAAGTCGATTTTATCGATTTTGTATGGTTGAGTTGACTCCATACAAAATTTCGTCGACTTCGAGGTCTGGTCTGAACCAACATTTTTGTTTATTCCATGTAGAAACTTTCAATTGCAAGTCAATTGATATTCAATAGAACATTTTAAGACTTAAGTTACAAAAGCATTTAAATCTTTATTCCTAGAATGTTCATCCATTAAATTACAGTAGTTAACTGTTCTTCCTTTACCATCCTAATTCTAAGAATCAGAAATCCTGTTTTCCTGATATTATTTAAACTCTCTCTTCATGATACTCACCTGCCATTTAGTCAAGCATGAAAAACTTTTATGCTTTTCAATCTCTTCTCAGAAGCATCGTAAGGTTTAAATAATATTTTGCCTCTTTTTTGCATTTTCACTCTTGTATGTTCATTGAAACTCACCGAGAAATTTTTCATTCCACTTAAACATAAAGGATTGGGGTTGATTCATCAGTGATGTTTTTTTTGATGTATCGAATTTTTCTACAAATTTCGAATTCGATAAAATTTTGTATGGAGTCGAGCCATACAAAATCGATCAAAATCTCGAGTCAACTTCGAGCTCTGGTTTTCTAATGATGAGATCACCAAGCTAGTTTAGAGTCTCATCTAAAATCGTATTTTAAGTTCGCATTAGTTCTACATTTAAGCTGTTAGTCTAAGAAGGGCTCGAAAGGTTCCAGACCTTCTTAAAGTTGCCAAAATTCAGAATTTTATTAAAATTTGTTTGATCCGGTCTCTGGCTTGACCCAAAATATTGTTCAAGAAGTGGATGAGAAAAGGTTGTGTTCAATTCCACAAAACCTTTTTAATAAACATTCCAGTCTTAGGTTCTCATTACAAAACTTACAAATACACCAAAACATTATTTTTCTCCACTTTTCCATGATAAATGCCGGTTTGTAGATAAAGTTTTCCACAATTTTCCTCACATTCTCTCTCACTTAACCTCCTATCCCACCCCAACCTCATCTACAATCTCCACAATGTTATGTGCTGCTTTCTCATACATTTTCATGTACATACAATTTTTACTATACGAGAGTGCAATGGACTTTTTGTTGTCATTTTTTTTCCCTCCCTACTGATGCTGCATTGCATTGCATTGCATAGAATGGAGCAGTTTTTTGGCACAAAATATACAACGAAAAATTGTTTTGGGTTTTTTTCTTCTTCATCTCCTCTCTTTTACTAGTTTATTTACTTTTATGTTCTCATACCTCATAACTGATGCTACTGGTGCTTGAACTATTTTTTTTTGTATACTCTGTGGATTTTTTGTTGCTGTTGTAGGGAGGAAAAAAAATATTCGAGATGGAAAAATGCGTCTGGTCATGATAATTCATAGATTCTCTCCATCTCACTCTTCTCGATCGAAAAAAGTACGATAAGAAAAAGTTTAATATTTCATTTATTGCATTGGCTCATGTTCATCTCTTATTGTAGGAAAATGTTGACAGTAGAAAAAGAAATAAAAAAAAGTTGCAACATAAAAAAATTGTTTTAAAAACTTTTATGTCTGTCCGTTATGGAAATTTTGTTGGATATCTATTTTTTTGATGGAGTGATTATGGCGTTCTTGTTTTGGTGTGTCTGATGTATTGGAAGTTGTATCGATCATTTTAGATGGAGGTAATAAAATACAGAATGTTACTTAAATTGACTAAGAACTGACAGGCATGGGCAAGGGCTCTAAGAGTAAAGAACATAGATGTAGCCAAGGATCTAAGGGGTCAGAGTCCTTCTGTGAGATTGAAGTACTCGTCGAGTTATCAAACCTTCTCTTGTTTCAAAAGTTTAAGGCTATCTCTTTGGGATGGGGATCGTCAGACCTTTAACTTGGTTTAACCAAGATCTAACGCTTTGTGATACCTTTGATTTATTTAATAAATTTTGTGCCAGAGGTACGAATCCAACAATCCCCAATTTTTATTTCCAAACTTAGAAATTCAATTCTAAATCCAACTGATTTCCATCCAAGGGTTTAACCATCTATATAGATGTAAAATACAGGAAATAGTTCCAACATATTATGTGGGAAACAACTTTATCATGCACTTGATATTTCACTCTGTGAAGGAAAAACCTTTAAACTATTACAATGTAATTTTGGAAGCTTATATATTTTGCCTCTGACTATCAGAACTTACACAAATTCACACAATATTCACGTTTTTTGAATCATCTTAACAACTTCAATGAAACAAATTTTTATCTCTTTGCTGCATATGAGTATTGAAGTATAGAAAGTTTCCACATATCCAGTTCTTCCTTCTTCCTTCTTCTATCCATTTATTTCACACTAAATATTGAATTGAAGTTTACTTTTCTGTTTTCCATAAAATATATATGGATATTATGTATATCATGAAATAAAAATAATTCTATGTGAAATTTGCTGCTGCATCATTCAGCATGAAGATTTTTCTCATTTTCATTTAGGAATAATTTTTTCTTGCTCGTTTAACTATCTATTTGGGTGTATGCTTGTACGGATGGGCTATTAGGAGTGAACTTATTGGGGATCAATGAGAGGTTTAAGAGCATTGTTGTAAGATTATGTAGGCAAATGATTAGAATTTTAAGTTCATAATAAGAAT